ATATATTATCTCATTTGATCTTAACAACCCTGTGAGGTAGGTGCAATTATCACCTCTATTTTACCGAAGGAAACTTAGTCCAAAGTTAAAATGACTTATCCTGGGTCACACAGCTAGTGTCTGAGTCAGAATTGAACTTATCTTCCTCAAAGTCCAGCACTTCTTCCACTACAGCACTTCTTGGAGTAGCTTATCCTCTACCTTTCCTGTTTCAAACTTAAATATTTTTTTTTTCCCCAATGAAAGTGCCTTCTTCCCTACCTTGTCTCCCTAAAAGAATCACACTCTATGGCCAAATTTAAGGAAGATTTTGGTAGTGGTAGTAAGACAAGATTAAAACAAATGGCTGGAGACCTGTATGTGGTCTGATTCTGATGTCTATCTTATAATTTTTAATGGGCTAGGGCAAAATTTAAAATGTTGACACAGTTGAGGCTTAAGTCATTTAAATAGCACTTATGCTTTCTAGCCATTAAACTAAAGTCTTTTACACTTTTTAATGCCCAAGCTATTGCTTTAAATAACTTAATAGTACTGAATGGTTTGTAAATGTGTTTATTAAATGTCAGTAATTTTTACAATGCAAATATTAATAGCAAAAAGCAAAATGTCTGCAAAGTATGTACAAAAGTAAAAAGCTTTACTATACTAGCAATTCAATCACTTTATAAAATCAAATTATGTTTCCCTCTTTCAGACCTCTTCTAGAAATAATTTATTGCCAATCAAACTAAAGTACAGATGGTAAAATTTACAATGATATCTTAGTCCCTGGAAAGTTATAAAAAGTTTTATGTATAAAAAGTCCCAAGCCACAAATACTTTTATACAGAGCTAATACAAATCATGTTTTATTTGATACAGTATCTATTACGATTGTTACAAAATATATTTTTAGATAAGGCTTCTTATGGTAACTAAGCTCTCGCCACTGTATAGTACAGAAAAGCCATTTAAAATATTTTGCAATTTAGTTACCTGTTTTCAAGTAAAAGGCAGAGAGATATGGTCAATAGCAATTTGCAGCAATGTTGCATACCTTTCCAAGAACTAAACCAATTTTTTTTCCTGGTACCATTAAAAAGGGATAGTTGCTGAGTGTTGCATACCCATTACAACATCTTTAAGGACAAAAAAATTTTTTTTCACAGATTTAAATCAGTATCTAGGCAACGATCCTGTAATGTAAAATACCAAAATCACATACAAGATAAAACTATTTCATTATCATGTCCTCATTGGATTAAATTTTCACCATGGGTCTCATCCTTTGACTTATCAGTGTACAGTGCTTGGCACATAGTAGGTTCTTAATACTTACTGACTGACAATTTTCATCAACAGAATCAGTGGCAGAATAGGCTAAATTATGAGAATTTTCTACAACCTCAAAAAGCACTGCTTGAATTTGTAAGGCTTATAAGAAATAACTTTTGGTATATGAGCAGTAGTGGTATTTGGAACCAAACGATTTTAAACTTGAACATCACAAAAGTGAAATCTCTCTTGAAAAGTGATATTACATTCAAGTACAGGTGAAGAGACTGCAAGATAGTGGTCTGCAAAATGTACCTCAAATGATGTTATTACTTACAATACTAAGTCTAATATCTACTTGATGGTACTTGGAAAATACATCTAGTTAAAGTTCAAATTGTTAAACAAAACCCTCAGCTTTATTTCTATATTTCCACCTCTATTATAAGTTTATTAAGCCCTGACATCGTACCATAACATAATGGGTCTTTACTACAAACCTTGTTATTAAATATTTACTTCTGTTTAATCCATGGACTTTATCTGTTCCTCGATGTAAACCATTAATAATAATACACTCCCTTAATGGTTACTATATACCATGTAACCAACTGTATATCCAGCTACAGGGTAATAAATTTCTTTTTTAGGAATATAAAAAAATCAAGCAGCATAAAAGATCTACTTCAAGGGTACATTGCATATATTGAAATAATGGGAAAAGAAAACAAGACTGACCCAGTATTTTTTTTAAAGCAAAACAACAAAATAATTTTCAACAAGAAAGGTATTGGATGCCATTTCTTTTTTAGATTCTCAAAAAAAATTAAAACAAATGTGGTTTTAAAAAAATTTCAAGGGGTCTGTTTACCACCACTTTTTGTATAGGCAAGTATGGTGTCACGGGTTCAAGAAATTCAGAGTTAACACTGATGTTCAATATTTTCACACTTGTATATACAAAGAACACATGCTATAAAATCTTCAATGGAAGGAACCTGGCTTAAATTTTGAATTTCTTTATTTCTGGCTCTACCCAAATGTATTACCTTATTAAAATGGCAATTTGAGGACTTTTCCAAATGGTGACTTAAATTTCAACATAACACATGGAAGAACATAACTTGGTAAGTTTATTTCACATAAATACTGAGAGAAAAACTGGGTATGTATATTAATACTAAAACATATTTTTTCCAAAAAATATATATATAATAATTTGAGCATACGTTATAAGGTTTGGTTTGCCCAAATGATTCTATAAAAATTTTATGGAGGGCAGCTAGGTGGTGCAGTGGACAGAGCACCAGCCCTGGAGTCAGGTGGACCTGAATTCAAATCCAGCCTCAAGACACTTGACACTTACTAGTGTGACCCTGGCAAGTCACTTAACCCCATTGCCTAGCAAAAAACAAACAACAACAAAAAAAAATACGAATCTAAACTATACATGCCCAATCACTCCCAATGCTGATTTTAAGGAATATAACTTTAAATGTCTACTTCAAAATGCTTGCCCAATCTAACTGGAAAAGTTTGTTTAAAAAATCCACTGTAGAGATCAAACAGTAGAAAACTGTTACATAAAGTTAAATCAATTAAAATTTAAAAAATAAACAAAACCTTCCAATCCCCCTAAACTTCCTTTTCCTCTTTTTTTTTCATTCTTTTGGCTGAAAGTATTTTCTAGGCAGCAAAACAGGAGTCATTTTCACAACAGAATTAAATACATCAAAAATGTAAAGATCTGGCTTAATTTTGAATATGATAAATCAAATGGCATCATAAAATCATAACACAGTATTTTGATTGGCAGAAGCACAATACCTTGGATTTTTGTCTTCAGAAAACTTAAAAATATATAGTAAAACTGAGGCCCCAATTTTTTTTATATTGTTAGGCTTAAATAGCAACATTATGTAGAATACATTTCCTCAAAGCCATTAAAACACTTTAGCGACATTTCTTGAGACAAATTAAAAAGCATTCAGGTTTACAACCACTGAGTCAGTAAACATTATATAATATAATGTAACTAGGCATGTGTTTCCAAAAAAACACAAGAAAGGCTTACAAAACCAAATGCTCTAAGGCACAATACATTTAAATTGATTTTTTAAAATAACTGGGCCAAAAAAAATTTATTTTGGCATATTTTAAAAAATAAATAAATCTACAAGCAACCTCATTTATCCTGTCCCCTAAGTTTTACCATTTTCTTCCCTATATAGTGGTATTTCAAAGGTTAAGTTCAGTGCTCCAAATAATAAGACTTCTTCCTTTAGTTTTTAAAGATATGTAAAATATGATCTAAAGGGTGGACTTATAGGTCCATTTAAACTATTACTAAATGTTAAAATAATGTTGTCACTCAAAAAAAAATCACACATTTCAATTTGTAGAAATAAACACTTCACTACCAAGATTATTCTGTGGTAGGTATTACTAACAGTTTTTAATGGCAGTTCAAAAAAAATGCAGATTGCTTCATCTTTTTAGCGAATATTTGTGGCTCCAATAACATACTTTAAATATGATTTAGAAAGACTAAACATTTTTCTTTACATATAAAAACACGTTAGTCTTCACTAAAGTTAATGCTTTGTTTTGACCATTTCACATGTTAGATTTACACAGCAATTTATTTTTGAAAAACCTAATGTGAATATATTTATCAATATTCACTAGTGAAATAATTCTAACCCCGTGAATTTTAAAGCAGTTTTTAAAGTTCATTTTGACTTCAGACATGCACGGAAGTCTGCTACACAGCCGCATCATGACGTAAGATCATAGATTGAGAGCTAGAAGGACGTCCGAGGCCATACTCAGAGGAGCGCCTGTGCGAACGCTCATGCACTGCCGTACTGAAATACTGAGAGGTAATGATTCTAGAATGATGGGAATGGGGCCTGAAGTCAAAGGAAATCTACTTTAACAAGAACGTCAAGAAAAATCCCTGTTTAGAAAGCTCGCTGTGAAGTTTAGACTTAAGCCAGACAGTTTAGTGAACTCGGCCCCTGAAAGACTTGATGATACATAGTTTTGACCACACATTCAAGGAATTTCTAATCAATAAAATACCTGAGAAGAGTCAGCTACAGTCAAGTGATCTATGTCACAGTCTTAATCACAATTTTAAAAAAGGAGAAAAGGTTTGATTAAAAAAAAAAAGTATCGTGCATGTTTTTCTAAAATCCAAGTTCTAAGGCTACATATAACCTAAAATACAGTATTTGTTATTGCAACCACAACCATTCTGATCATCTTAATAATGAGTGCATTTGTAATTATGAAGCTATTTAGCAGAAGTACATTTAAAAATAATGATTTTAAAAGGAAGCAGTGGGAAGTCAAATTTAATTTAATCACACATAGGTGTCTGAGTTATACAAATTATAACTTCTTAATAGCAAATGGTTTAACACTTAAAATGTACTAAAAATAATGGCATTTCAAAAATAGAAATTATACAACCAGTATCTGTTGTGTTTTTTGGACAGACACACCAAGAATTAATAATGATAATCCCATTTAATGATTTGCTGAATTTGAAGGGGAAATGACTGTCCATGCTAAGTTTCAAACAAACACAAAAATGCCTCAAAGACTAAAGTTATTGAAATGATCAAAACAGCAAAAGAACAGTATCTGTGATGTTGCAATTGTATTTTTTAAAACAGTAATCACCAAAATCATCTGAGACAGGATTTAAAAGTCTGAGAGTTAAACAAATAAAAGAATTCTGAAAAGGTTTTATTTTAAAAGTCGTATCACTTAAGTTGCAAGCAGCTTTGATTTACTACTATTGCCAGAATATTCAGGTACATTATTAATATATCATCATTAAATAGGAACAAAAAGAGTTAAGTCACATTTCATGATTTGCTTTTGACCAAAGTACTACTTGGGATCTGTTTACTTATTGGCTTTCCTTGTACCATCCGTGAATACTCTTTGATTAGCATCAAATCAGAAATGCTTATGTAAACTTTAAAGTATTAAGAACATTACTTTCAAAAAGCACAAATTTTTTAAAATGTACAACCAATAGTTGCATATCAATTAAAAAACAGTAAGGCCAAATCTGTGATAAGCCCATGGAATGCCATCCCTTAGATCAAATCTTTTCCAACAGCCCTTGCAGTCACTGCAAGCTAGATAAGATACTACTGAATGTAAGGCTAAAAAGACACCTTATTTGTTTTTTAAGAACTGAATAACCTTAACCACATACCTACAAGTTAACAGCTGCTACAGAAATACAACTCAGACTGGAAAACTGGGAAGAGACTGAAGCCTGAAGCAAATTTAACTGAGGTCTACTACAGAATTACAATTTGATTTAACTTGAAGCTATAGTGGAAAGGATTCAAAGCCTGAATCTGAGCAGAAGTTGGCAATAATGTGGTATTCAGCAGCTTTCAGCCACAAACCAAAGTCTACAGAAGACAGACTACGGTTTTCAAAAAGTTTAACACAGGATTAAGGTTTTGTAGTCCTGTTGTAAACTGCTATTTATAAAAAATAGACAACAACAACAAAAAAAAATTCCAAAAAACAAACAAACAAACACAAAAGGGTATTAAAATAAAGTCTGTTGCACATCACTGTAGCATAAGCTGTTTGAGGTTGTCATGAAGGATGGTATCCTTCACATCACGAAAAACAAGTCGAATATTTTCTGTGTTAATAGCAGTGGTGAAATGGTGATATAAAGGCTTCTGCTGCTGGTCCCGGCGTTTGTTACGGAAACATTCCACCAGGAAAGTTTGGACATCTGTTAAACGGTGGGGATCCCCTTCAAATTCTAGGAAATAGTCTTTGATGCTCACAATTTGCACTTTTTCCTCAAGCAGATCTGTCTTATTTAAGAAGAGAATTATAGAGACATTGCTGAAAACTCGGTTGTTGACTATTGTTTCAAAAATGTTCAGAGATTCTGTCAGACGATTTGTCAGTCGATCTTCCATAAGCACCTGGTCAAATTCACTTGAAGAGACAAGGAAAAGTATTGATGTTACACTGTCGAAGCATTCAAACCAACGTTTCCTTTCTGATCTCTGACCACCCACATCAACCATTTTGAAAGGAACGTTTTTAATTTCAAAGTCGTACTCATGTATGCCTTTAGTGGGTCTTCGTGCAAGCAGAATATCTTGCTGTGATGGAATGTAATCCTAGGAGAAAAATTATATTTATCATTTTAAAATGCAACCAACCACTGTGATTCTTGACATGCTTATTAACAGGTTTACTGAACAAATGTCCAAACAAAATATTTATCAAAAATTAACCCTCAAGTTCCAATATTATTATAATTAAATTCTAATATCTTTAAAATATTCAAAAGCATCGAGGTGGATATTCTGACAAAAAGAAACACCATAAATAATAAGCAGTATTACTTATTTCACTAAGGATACTACTGTTCATAAAATCACTCCCTGTACAATAATTTCCATTTGTTTTCTTTCTACTAATCAAACCCCCAGCCAAGCTTTCAAGTACTTCATCAACTGTTCTCTTCATTTGTCTCTCCAATTTCACCTTTATTATGCTTCTACTCATGTATGTCCCAAGCTAATGAATAATTTTTCTCTACTTTAAACATATCCATCCTGTTCCTTCCTGCCTCTGTTGCCCTAATTTTCTTTTCTATCTTCTCTGTAGTGCCTAGTATAGGATGGTGCACGCAACAGACTTCAATTAATTCTTGCTCAGTGCTAGCCTCAGTGCAGTCTATTGCTATTATGGCAGGAATGCCCCTTCTTTGGGGTTTTCATAAGGTAGGTGTTTTCTAAACCTAAAAGTTCTATACAAATGTGAGCTATCATTATATGTCTCTCAACTTTCTAGCTCATGTTAGGATAGCACAGGAGAGCCCAATGTGGTAAAAGCATGTAGTCTGCCTATGTAGAGATCTGACTTCCTGTAACACAATTAGCCAAACTTTTTTTCAAGCACTTGCTTTTTTTTTTTTTAAACCTCTTTCATAGTAGATTCTCTTAAAACACTAATGAAAGGTAGGCAGCAAAATAAACTACTCCAATAGTACATTTACTTATATCATTTAACAGGTTCATTCTTTAATATCAGTATTTCTAGACTATAGCACATCATTATCATCATCCTAATACTGTGCTTTTTAGTGATGCTAATCAGGTAATAAAAAAAATCAGAACCAGAGCTTATGATCCCTATTCCTTACCACCTTATTTTATCCTTTTCCAAATATTATAGCACAATGATTACTTAGAATGTTGCTGTAAGATAACTATCCACTGAAATGACAACAGAGGGAGCACAAATATAGTCACCTTATAATTATTTGTACTCGTGTAAGAGACAGGGACATGGACAATCCAAAGTATATAAAATAATTTAATTTTTAAAATTACATTTTAAATATAAAGCACACATTGTTCCCACATTTTTTCTATCACAGTGTTCCAATAATCTAGAGACGCTACCTTAATTATAACTGATCAAATATAAGTTATTTATTGAGCATCTAATACGTGCATAGCATTGTGAAGGTGATAAGAAGCTCTGTTAGAATGGGTATAGTTACTCCAACTAAATTATTTTCCCAACCACACATGAAGAACTTAAACCAATTCTTTCACTCATACAAAATCTTTTAGTCACTAGGACTATATAATTGAATTATTTTTGACTCTTCTCTCTACTTAACCCCCATATTCAATGCCATCAAATTGGTATTTTTATTGCTTTGAAATTTCTTCTACATTCATCTCTCCATTTCCAATGATTATCAGAAATAACCCTAAATCTAGACTTTAATCTCTTCACACATGAATACTAGTCTTCTTTGTCTCTACTATCTCTATATTCACATTTATCTTGAAACCAATGCCAATTTTCCTATTACTTATTCCTTACTCAAAAATCTATAATGATTTCCTATTACTTAATGAAGACCAAATTTCTTAATTCTTTTACTCTTTATAATCTGGCGTGCATTCTACCTCCAACTAGAGTTCTCATTATAGTGCCTACTTTTTGTCTACTTACTTATTCATGCTACCTTAAATAAAAGCATTTTTATTTTTCCTACCTCGACCTGAGGTTGACTTCTGCTGATATTCAGAAAAAAGGGCAATAGCAAATGTATAAATTATGATTTTACCATTCCTGCTTTAAGATACTAGGAATTAATTTTTTCCTAAACACAGAAATTAATTTTTTCCTTAACACAACTGTGACAGATAGGTCACCTCCAGATACCATGAAAGTTTCCTTCTCCATGTATCCTCTTTTACCTCTCTCCCTTCCTTCATCTAATTAAATCTTACACGTCTTTCACACATGGGCTAACTATTCCAGCTTAAACTATCCTTTCTCTGAACTCTTATTATTGTACTAAAATCAAGATTATAGTTTAGTACTTAATACATATTAGTTTTGCTTTCCTTGCTAGATTATAAATTCCTTAAAAATAAGAACCTTATCTTACCCTGAACTTTTGGATCCCCACATGGTGCTGAGCAGAAAGGAGGAGGTACACCAGAAACAACAACGAACACATTGCTTTGTCTAATACAAAAAGCAAAAGGCTAGTCGACCAATCAGAAAATTTGGTGCATCTTCATACTCTATTACATGTTCCCGTAAAAGATTTGTGGCAACAGGATTATGCTACCCTTGCCTAGGTCCTGGAAAAAAACATTTATAAAGCACTCTTTTCCATCACTTGTCTGTTGTTATAGAAAGAAAATTTTAGGATAACTATTCTAAGATCATTTCAATTATTGCCAGGAAAGAAAAGAAAATTCACTTATTTGTTCATTCAACAAAAATAATGAGCACTCATTATGTACAAGGAATTGTGCTGTCTTGCAACTTAACCACCCATCAAGCCAGGTGACTGGGCCAGATCAACAGTATTCAATAAGAGTGAAGCTCTCTGGAATGTATGGGAAAGGACAGAAAAACCAATGATCGTGAAATGAAAATATTTTCACTTAAAAAGTTCTAACATCAATTCTCTTATGATTTCTTTTCCTATTTTACAAAGGTACATAGGAAAATAAAGCAAAATGAAAATGTCTTTTTTCTCAAATGTGTTTTTTTTCTTTATTCTTTCAAACTGTCTTCTTTAGGAGTTTGAGGGATCATAGCTATGAATAGGGTATCTTTTAATATGAGGTAGGAAGAATTTGAGCTCCATAGAAAGGAATGTAAGAAAAGATGCTTAGTATGAACTTTTTTTTTTAACTTCCAAACTGGTTGTGGCCACTGCTCCTGATGTGAAGGTCCCAGTGACCACCTTGAGACTCGCACTACTCACCAAAAGGCTGCCCCTGCTCATGAGAGTAAGAGAGCATACACCCCTCTTGGGGAGCTAAGGAATCAAGATCCAGAGGCCCTGATGAGAGATCAGGAGAACATTCTAGTCTCCTGACTTCATGTGCAATTCTATTGATACTCCCCCAATTGTTAACAATCTCTCGCCTCTCTTAGTCTATCTATCCTTGTGATGGTAAATCCAAGACTACTGAAAGGCAACCCTCTTCCCCAAGCCCTGCTGCCAATTTTCTAATCCCCATTGATCTCAATGAGGCTCTTCCAATTTCCCGTTCTTTATCTGCCTATACCTTGTAATGTGTCCCCTGGAATTCCCAATCTATAGTTAACTAACTCTAACTTAATTTTAAAGCTCTCCTCTAATGCTTCTTCCATCTTCTGGCTCTCACTGAGACCTTTAACCCTTCCAGATGAGACTACATTCCAGGCCTTTTCAGCAGCAGTTACACTTTCTCTCACACATGACTCACTGTACTGTAGGGTGAGCTGGAACACTCCTTGCCCTTCATTGTCTCTCTATCTAGATATATAGAAACTCTCTATTGTCATCACTCAGTAACTTCTTCTCTTTTAAGGTTCAATCTCTCTAAATCTGTCACGCTTACCAGATTCTGGTGGCTATTATCTACCAACTTCCAGGACATTCTCCCTCCTTTTTCAACGAATTCAGTGCCTGGCTCACAGTGTTCCTCTTCATTCCAACTATTGCCCTCTTACCAGGGGACTTCCAAAATACGCGACGTTCCCTCAAATAAATACTCTCGTTCTCCAGTTCCTCAATCTACTTGACTCCTAACCATTCCACCTCTGCTTCACATAAGGATGGCCACACCCTTGATCTTGCTATCATCTTCAAATGCTCCACTTCCATAATGAATTCCCTCATCTGATCATTATTTCTTATCATTCTATTTATCCTGGTGCTCCTCACTCCTCTCAAGCCTGCTCTTTGTCCTTACTGTGACCTGGAATAACTCTAACTCCACAGTATTTCACCCCTATCCTGGCTAAACTCTCCTCCCTTTTTGATCTCATGCACAACTTAGCTAACAAGTTACACTACAAATTTCTGCTATGCAATGTCACTGGGACCTTACTGCAGCAAGATAATCCTTCTATTCATCCCTAATTTTCTATCCCACTCTTCACAGAGGCTATTCCAAATCTCTTCTCTCAAGTCTCCAAATCTCTGCCCCCCCCCCATCCCTCTCACTCAGCTGAGAACTTTACTACTGGAAAAAAGGTTTTTTTAGGGAGATTATATGTGGAGAACTTCCTCTCCTCCCCAATTTATCTGACAATTCCTCCTCTTCTCAGAGCCCCTTGACTTTATCCCTAAACTACATATGAAACCACCTACTTACCAAAGTCAAACCCTGCTCCTTGCATATCTCCCCCGATCCTCACCCCCAATCTACTGATTTCTTCCTTGTATTATAAAAATGTGTCAAAGTCTCTCATCCATAAAAATTCCTCACTAGGTCCTATCATCCCTGTTACTATTCTATTATCTCTCCTTTTCTCAGCTGACTTTGAGATGTTTATACTCAGTGCCTTGACTTCCCCTGTTTGTGCTCTCTTAACTTCCTTCTGAGTTCATCACTCAAAAAACTGCTCCCTCTAAAATCATCCACAATCTTTTAGTGTGCCAAACCCAACAGCTTCTGCTTTCCCTATCCTCCTTGGCCTTTCTACAACTTCTGACAATACTGACCACATTTTCCTCTCCTTCTGCATAATCTCTCTTTTCTGGGTTTTCAGGAAATTATCCTGTCCTGGTTCTCCTACCTATCTGACCACTTCTCAGTTTCCTCAGATGATTCAATATTTGTGTAACACACCCAAACTGTGGGTGTATCTTAAGGCTCTGTCTTGAGTACTCTTCTTTTTTCTATATACCTCTTTCATTAGGTGATCTCATCAGTTCCTATGCATTCAATTATCATCTCTATGTAGATATCTCCCAGATGTATATAGGCAGCCCTATTCTCTCCTGAGCACATCACCAACTTACCCATTTGACAGTTCAAACTTGATGTCCCAGAAGTATCTCAAACTCAGAATGTTCACTAATTTTCTCCCCAACCCACATCTTTTCCAAACTTGAGGTACCACCATCCAGGTATGTAACCTTGTTGTTATCCTCAACCCCTTATTCTCACTCACCCTTGAACATACCACCATAAGACTAACTCTTGATTCTATACCTTTGCAATGACTGTCACCCATGCCTAGAATGCATACTCTCCTTCACTTCTACCTCCTGGAATCTTCGGTCTTCTGTTTAAGCACCACTTACTACATAAAGCTTTTCCTGATTCCCCTGTCTACTAGTGCCCCCTCTCTCAAAACTGTTATCTTTTATTTTGAATATAACAGACATACACATACACACAGAGACACATACTTGTGTGTATATGCCTGCAAAGTAAGCTATTAATAAATACGTGTTGACTAATAAGCAAAAATATCTGACTGCTACATTTTAAGTGGTTAAAAACCCAGAAATATACAGTGTTAAAACTTACAGGTTCTCCAAGTTTATCCAAGTTGTCCAGAAAATACTTTACAGATTCACCCTAAAAAACAAGAACAAAATAAATATATATAAATACATATACATATATATATATTAATGCCTTGTTAGGGATGGAAAACTTGGTTGTAACAATTTGTATTACATAGTCTTACTATATACAATCCAAATATATCCGTTTAGTCACTAACATTGAAATGAACAGTTAACCCTTTCAAAAGGCATTAAAATCTCACCTTCCCTAAAATACTGAAGCCCCAGATGAAGATCATACTTTTCACTTAAAAAAAAAAAAAAAAAAACCAAAAACTTGGCTTTTAAATTCATCTATAATATGCATATTGCTTTTTTCATAGGTCTAATTATGAATTTAAAGGAAAAAATAACTTTTGAGATAAACTTATTATTAACTTATTACTTTTTTACCTGAATTTTAATACCTCTGGAGTAGAGAAAATAAAAATTACCTTAAGAAAGAGGATGGATTCACATATAAAAAAAGCTGAAATATTTTAAAATAAACTAGTAAAAGGCATATCTTTGTTAAGTTATTAATAGTGCTACAGGATCCATTTCTCTATTTTTGGCAAAGTGACCATCCTTTTTGAAGTACAGATGTTTTTACTATATTTACATGCCACTAACCATTACTAAACTAGAAGAAGTATGGTATAATGGATAGAAAGAGCATCTTCCTCTGAAACAGGAAGAACCGGACTCAAGTTTCTTGGCTGATTTCACACTGGTTGTCTGATCCTGGAGCAAGTGACTTAACCTCTCAGTGCTCTACGAAAACTCTCTAAGGCTATAAATTTAAAAGACAAGGGGCAGCTAGGTTGCACAATGGATAGAGCACCAGCCCTGGAGTCAGGAAAACCCGAGTTCAGATCAAACCTCAGACACTTGACACTTACTAGCTGTGTGACTCTGGGCAAGCCATTTAACCCCAACTGCCTCACCAAGGGGGGTGGGGAGGGAAGAAAAGAAAAGATAGAACTGGCCTGCACTGGTAGGAGTTTCTTCACTGGAGAGTTTCCTATAACAATGAAATCACAGGCCCAGTCTCTATCCTTTTCTAACTGAGGAAAAGGTGAGAACCTCCCTAGGACCTGGAAAATTTGGTAATGTTTCTAAAAAATATGACTAAGATGATTTTTGAAGGTGAGAAAAAAGAAAATAACATTTAATAGATGAACTATTTCCTTCTTAGTTCATAGACCCTAAAGATGATATTAATAGAAAAGTGTCTTAAAGTATTACATTTTATCATCTGCTTTCAAAAGGTTGCAAAAGCTATATACATATATATTTTATGTGATCTTCCCAATAATTCTGTGAACTATGAAAGGGATTAATCCTCATTTTACAGATATGGAAAATAAGGTCTCTGAAGGGAGGTGGCAATTATCTTTTGAGGTTCTTTGTATACCTCTATATCACCCTACGGTAGCTAGATGGCACAGTGGACAGAATGCCTGGCCTGGAGTCAGGAAGACTTCTTGCATTCAAATCTGGCCTCAGACTCTTACTAGCTGTGCAGCCCTCTGCAAGTCACTTAAAACCATGTTTGCCTCAGTTTTCTCATCTGTAAAATGAGCTGAAGAAGGAAATGGCAAACCATATCTTTGATAAGAAAACCTTACTTGGAATCACAAAGAGTCAGACACGACTGAAAGTGATTGAACAAGGTATCACCCTATTCGATTCCTGGCAAGTTATCTATAGGCCCCCAGATCTTTCTGTAAGAGTTCTCTACTTGGTTACCTCTCCATTCCGACTCCTGTTGTTTTACTAAGGGTTTTTAACATACCTCTACCAACCAACAAGTCAACTTCTTCAGCTTATATGACCTCTACTATCACACCACCTCAGCTACACACCAGAATGGTCCCACTCTTGATTGTTCAAGTGTTCCAAGGTTCATGATATAGAACTCTGCAATTCCTCTAACCAGACCTTAACTTATCATTTCCTTTCTCTATACCTCATCCCTTCCCCCACCTATTCTTTATTCTCACTTAAGTGCCTTTCATTTTTTCTCCATTCACAATCTTGATGCTATAATTAACCAGTTCAACTTTATACTATCTTCTACTATCAAATCACCATATCTCCCCCCCCCCCGCCCCAAATAAGCCTTGCCAAATCCTGACCTTGGATTATTCTTCCTCTTCTTCCTCTGATCCTATGGTGCTTATGGAACTCACACATCTCACTACCACAAGGCCATCCTGTTACTCTTTCTGAACTGATTTTCTAAAATGAGTGGAATAAAGGTGGTCTATTGTATAGAGTTCTGGATCTGAAGTCATTAAGCCCTATGTTCAAATACTCTCTCTGACAATTTTGGGCCATGTATATCTCATGCTAATCCAGTGATTCAGGCTCGGGGTTAAAAACCAAAGAGGCATTTGTGGACCACAAAATGCAATAAAAACAAGTTTACTGGTGACAAAGGATAAAAAAGATAAGATTTTAAAACCACTAATTCAGATAAAATGGCTATTACTCTACCCTCTGGCTATGCTAAATTAGAAATGCATACCTAAAGTAAGAATGCCACCAGAGCTTCCAACACCAGTCTCCAAAAACTGTCTTTTTATGACCCAGATGACAAGGAAGCAAACACTCTCCCCTATCCCCTCATAAAACCAGTGCCATATTCTGTCTTGGTGTCAAGGTCCCCAAAATTTTCTAGGTTACCTCTCACCACAATTTTGACCTCATGATTTCTGCCATAAGGGCATCAACCTGATATTTAAGTTCAACAAAGGGAATATGATGTCTCCAAGTGATACTAACAAACTCTCCAAACAATTGTACTCAGTGAGAGAAATCAGCAACTTTCCTTTATTGGTCCTGACTCCAAAGAGGGCAGGGCAGCTTTTAGTTTTCCAGTACTGTTTTGTCCAGAACAGTACTGTTCTGCCCCAAAACACTCAGTCAGACCCATGGTCACTAAATAGGAGCTAGTATAAATAAAAACCTTGTCTGCTATCTTCCTCAAGCCTGTTATACAACTTACGGGTGACTCTACTTAGACGACTTACCAAGACCCTGTCTCTCAAGATAACCCCAGTTACTGGATTAATTATCACTGAATTCTAATTGTGCAGGCCTTTCTCAGTCTCAGCCATCAAGGAACCAGACAAAATGGCATTCTTTAAAAACCAAATGTTTGTACACGGGCCCACTGGTGGAAGAGTCAAGGCATTGGTGCTGGGACTGAAGGTCTAAGCCTCTGCAGAGTCGCAACCAGTTCATGAAGGGCACTAACACTTGAGAGACTTGGATAAGAATGATCTTGAATGTACCACATCTATTTAACAATGGAAGCTCTCTATGTTCTACCTATCATGTTACAGGGATCATCTTATATCACCCAACTCATAATGTACAAATTGGGATAAAGGGTAATGGTATGATCCATTCAATAGAAATTAGGACCTAGTAAGTAATAGGCAAATATAACTGCTTTTTCAAAAATGGTATAACAAGTGACTGCTTTGCGGAGTGACCACTTCTAGTTCCAGAAGGACTATTTAATAACTCCTTGGTGCCTGTCAAACTCTCCACTTAGCCTGGTCCTTATGGATGAAATCTCCAAGACCTAAGACCTCACAAGACCTAAGACACTTTCTTGCATCTTACATACCTCACTGCATTCTCACCCTGAGCCTGAATCAATGTCCATGCCCAAGTATTGTCTACTCTGTTGTTTCTTTTCTTTGTTATGGTTCATTGCTCTTCTGTTTTTGAAAGGTTCACTGATGATTCCCTCTCCTCTTTTTATTAGCATAACTATTACTCCCTTTCCCTCACCCAAAACTTTATAACAAATTAGTATAGTTACGGAAAACAAAAACCCTCCTAGGTGATTTCTGAAAATGTCAGTCTCATTTGTCATTCCTAGTCTATTACCTTTCTGCCAAGAGGTGGGAAAGAACATTCATCCTCAGTCTTCTGGAATGCTGGATTGCTCATTTTATTGATCACTGTTTTTTAAGTCTTTCAAAATTGTTTTCACTTACAATACTGGAGTCACTGCTTAAACTATTCTTGATACTGTTCAATTCACTCCTCATTAAGTCATACATTAGATCAGAAGTCTTTGTATCCATTCATTCTGCTATTTCTCAAGGAGAAATAATATTCCATTACATTAATGACTATAATTAGTTCAGCCAGTACTGTTTGTTTCTTGTTCTCTGCTAAAATATAAAGTGTAGCTACAAATATTTTTGTATATATGAGCAGATCCTTTCCTTCTTGATTTTTTTGGGGTGTAATGCTAGTAGGGGTTTCAAGAGTCAAAATGTACACACAGTCAGTGACTTTTATAAGCACAGTTTCAACTTGCTTCAAGAATGACTGGATAACTGCTAGGTCTGTATCCCAAAGAGATTATAAAAAAAGAGAGAGAGAGAAAAGGGCCTATTTGTACCAAAATATTTACAGCAGCTCTTTCTGTAGTAGCTAAGAATTGGAAATTGAGGAAATGTGGTTTGCTGACCTGTACTTCTCCTCTGCTGATTCATCATCAATCAATTAGGAAATGGTTGAACAAGTTGTGGTATATGATTGTAATGAAATATTATTGCACTATTACAAATGATAAGCAAGATAATTTCAGAAAAAACCAGACTTATATGAACTGATACAAAGTGAAGTAAGCAGAACCTGGAGAACACTGTACACAGTAAAAGCAATATTGTATGATGATGAACTGTGAATGACTTGGCTATTCTCACCAATACAATGATTCAAGACTCCAATACAAGATCCAAAGGACTCATGATGAAAAATGTTATCCACCTCCAGAGAAAGAACTGATTGATGTTGTCTGAATACAGACTGAAACATACTATTTTTCTTTCTTTCTTCAAGTTTTCTTGCACAAAATGACTAATATGGAAATATTTTACATGATTACACATGTATAACTTCTATTAGATTAATTACTGTCTCTGGTAGGGGAGGGAGGGAAGAGAGGGATAGAATTTGGAACTTAAAACTTAAACCCCCAACAAAACACAATGAATG